GGGGCAGACCCTGGGCTGGATCCCGGAGCGTCCCCGGGTCGAGCGCACGAGGACCGGCGAAGCGAGCCTTCACGCGTTCACGCGCCCTCCCGCGCGCCTCCGGTGACAGCTCGCGCTGCTCGCTAGCAGCGGCTCCGCCCTCGCGGCGGGGATGCGTAACCCGAGGGGGAAGGCGGCATCTCCCCTCGGGCATCTTAGGCGTGGTCTTTCCGACTCAGTCGTTGATGTGACCAGAGGGGCAGTTGACGAAATACCGGAAGCCTAATGCGGCATTAGCTGCATTGAATGAAATGCGGGCCCTTGCACTGAAATGCGTTTCATTCCTGTCTCTGTTCAGGTCAGTGTATGAGTTACCAACCTCAGTCCGTAGTTGCTCTGCATCCATTATGGCTCTTCTCGCCATAATGGATCACCTTGTCAGGCTTCTGAGGCAGCACCCGCATCCCTTGCACCCTTCCGAGCCACCCCTGGGACTCCCTCCCCAGTCAGTTCTCCTGGCAGCAGTAACCGTGACATGGAGGAGCATCTCGAAGTCATGCACCAGAAATTACTTCTGCCTGCAAAACAGTTGCTGGGCTCCTGTCTTCTATAACAGATTTGACCTTCATTCTCATGAGCCAATTTGTATATTTTTATTTTTGTTTTATCGTATGCCATGCAGGAATGCTATTGTTATGACACCCCGCAGTTCTGAGACATAAGTGATTCCTTATCTCTTAATAGAATGAATTACGGCACATAAAATACCTTGTGGTTGGTCCTTAATAAAACAAACAAACGAGGCATGCATTTAAATATCAAAAATGTTGGTTCGTTACCAAAGTTCTGTTCCAAGTACTGTAAAATAATGAATTCTGTGCTCAGTATGCATCACCCAGATAAAGTAAACTTCCTTCTGTGTCACTGTGCAGACCTGTCAGGTGAGATCAGATGGTCCAGGAAAATATCTGAATGCTGCTTCTGCTTTTCAGGAGTGCCAAGGACAGAATTGGACCTTTTTGATAATTTAGATTCATTATTCTGAAATTTCTCTCTCTCTCATTCTCTCTCTCTTTTAAGGATTTGGCTGCCTCCTGGGATAAGTTACCTCCTGAACTTGTCTCTTCCACTTCGATAAGACTGACTTTTCACTCTCTGTTCTCCAAGAAGTGGTCAGAAGCCGTCCCTCGCCTTCCAGCTCGGTCTCACCCTTCTGCAGAAAACTGTACTGTGATCAACTATGGATTGAAGTACAGCAGCCTGGAGACCAGGGGCCTTTTCCAACCGACTGTTCCCTCCCCTCCTGAAAGCATGGAAGATGCAATCATTTTGGAGAACGGGAGGCAAGAGGATTACCTTAGGGTACGACTTAGCGAAGGACTGGACAGTGCCTCTTTAGACTCTTTGTATAGTCTCTTTCATGGCTGGCAGTTCCGATCACCTTGTCAGGCTTCTGAGGCAGCACCCGCGTCCCTTGCACCCTTCCGAGCCACCCCTGGGATTCCCTCCCCAGTCAGTTCTCCTGGCAGCAGTAACCGTGACATGGAGGAGCATCTCGAAGTCATGCACCAGAAATTACGGGAAGAGGTACCAATGTTGCTATTTTGCTGCTTGGGGAACTAGTTCTTTTTGTTTTTCCCTTATAGAATGGTAGGGCTGGCTGGGAGATTACTTGATTATGAACTTGGCATTGGATAAAGACTGTTGTGGGAGACACAGTTTTGTCAAGCTTACCTTGGGCAAATGAAAGAGCTCTTGTTTTGCAGAGTGCTCTGTGGCCCACTGTTTCTTCTGAGGTTCAAGCAACTCCTAGGAAAGAGGAGATCTTTCTTAACCACGTCTGTTCATACATACTATTAATTACTCCCTTTTTTATATAAGTTACATGTCAGCAGCCAGAAATGGAAAAAATATATTTTAAGTGCAATACAATAAAATATTATTTTTAGGGTACCTGGTAAATGCCTTCAATAAATTGTTTGTAGGTATTTAATAATGAACTCCTCCTCTGCAGTGTTTTTTTTTAAATATAGAATTCTCCTTTCTTTCTATAAGGCGCATTCAAATAACTTACTGACTTGGTCAAAGACTCTGCTACATCAAGACATAACATGTGAGTTAGTTCTAATGGATTCTAGGATCCCAACATCTTTTGGGATGGCTTTATGAGCCACTACCTATCTTAATGTTTTACCTTGGACTGGTAAAAGAGGCTTTATTAGGAAGCCTCACTATCATAAATTTGAGAAACCTTTGAAGGAAGGGCAGAACATTGTTTCGTGGTATGTTCAGCTCTTTGTTGCGGTTTATAGGATAGCACCAATGCGTTTTTTTTTTAATTTACTGCCTTAGCCAAACCTGGATTTAACTTAATTATCAGAGAAAAAGTAATGACTTTTGCTTTGTTTGTAATTGCTTGTTCAATATTTGTGATTTTGCAATAGACCTCTGTTTGAGTCTTTGAGGCTATAGTACAGTTCCTTCTAATATTACAATATAATAGCAAGGTAAAACAAGGAAGTGGCTAAGACAATTATTTGGGGGAGGCAGTATAGTTCAAAGCATGCTGAAGGTCTTGGCTTCTGGCATCTGCAAGTAAAAGGATTATATAGCAGATGATTACGTGGTTTATTAATGTAAAGAATATTTGACTTCATAGACCAATAGTTCAATGTGTTGTAAGGAGGCTTTGTGAAACACCTTAATCATATTTTATAGATAGAAGGTCTAGAAATAGATTGCACTAAATCTGAAAGCTTGCAAACACAGGATTTCATCTTAAGGAGTGTTTAGTCTCAGTCTTTTCTGTAACAGGGTTGAAACTCTGATTTGGTTTCCCAAAAAATCCCCAAAGGGGCTTGATTATGTACATTTGTACTCCACCCATTCCCACAATAGGCTAAAATTATTCATGTGGTCCAAGAGGCTGATGCATGCACTTCAGGTATGTATGTAGGATCCCAACACATCTTTTTAACTAATTATTGATACAACACATGGTCATGTATTTAAAGAATGAATAAAAATAATACGAGTGGAAAATCTGTATTCCTATACATGGAAAGTTGACACATTCAAATTTAGCAAAGATTAGTTTCATCTATACTGGGCAGAATATAGGCAGAAAACACACAAAGTCAAAAGTTGCCAGTATACTTCTGAGAATCTATAGGCTACAAATTCCTCACTTTTGCTTGCTTTTCTTGTTCTCCCTCCCATCCCTCCAGCTACCAGCCTTTTTTTCGAGGGGTCATAATTATGCAATGTATTCCCAGGACGTAGAATTCATCAATGAGATTCTGCATCTGAAAACACGGTCAGTCCTGAATCAGGGAGGGAGGTGGGAAGTTGGAATACCTGATGGCTGGATTGTCTGCCCTTTGATGAATGTGAAAGATTCCCTAATACATTTAGGATTTATACAGAGAAATACTGTCTACGCTTCTGTAAGAGCTCTAAGTCTACTGGAAAGCTGGGTAAGTTTTTTCCTCACGAAAAGTTTCCCAGATGTAGCTACAACTTATTGTTGGTCCTTGATCTTAGAAGACAGAAAACTATAGGCAGCATATCTGATCTGCAAAGAAAAATCTTTGCAAAACAGCACCAGTCATAGAGAAGGTAATAACTTGCCCTCTGTTCAATGTTTGTATTTTATTTATTAAAAATGTACAATATTCTCCTCCCCCACTCCTGTTGCCCATGGATAAGGGGGAAGGGGAGACTTCTTGTATCCCTCTCTCCTTTTACGGGGATGATTGTTAATAATCCTGTTCTATATAGCAAGGAAGGTATGTAAGTTTTTAATAATAAATTATACAACTTCCTGGCTATATAAAATGTGATTATTAACCGTTGGCATGACAGGAAGGGCAATAGACATGCTCCATTAAGGGAGCATCTGAAACTGGTTTCATAGATTCTGAATGATTCTAAGGGAATTCTTTGCAGCCCTACCCAATAAAGCAACTGCTTTATCTAATTACAGTAATGATTTCATGAATAGATGGGCAGCACTGACAGAAAACCTGCTAATTTTCCCTCATTCATCTAAGAGTATTATTGGAGGAGGCAGCTGTATAAAGAAAGGTTTTGGCCCATCATCACTTTGTACTGATGTGGAATACTGTCAGTTGCTACAATAATGACTGAACAATTACTGCTTTATATTGTTTCTTTTTCTGACAGATAGCCTGAGGGCTTTTAGCTGCTATAATCCATATTCTATTTATGATAAGGGTTGTATTGTCATCTATTTGATTCATTAAAGTCACCTCTTCTTTCCCCAATATACTTGATTTGTGACGCTTAAAAGCACACAAGTGATTTGTGGGCTATCCAGCACTTCAGATTCAATCTCCAAAAACTGATTTGGAGCATGTAGGAGTGTAAACCTAGTGCCTGGCTAGCACCCTATTAAAGCAGCCATGATTTTTCTTGAGGTCACAGGGCTGACGTTGGCAGTTGTCACATGATCCTGAGAAAAGATGAAGCTGCTTTAAGATGTTACAGAAGGAAATACAGGCAGTCCTCATTCAGTGACCCCAACTGGGAGTGGAAAGTTGGTCATTAAGTGAAGCGGTTGCTAAATGAAAGCGCGCCTGTGCTTATGATCTTACTTCAGCTTTCCTTTGCTTTACAGACCTGTGAAAGTCATAAATGTGAGGATTGGTCACAAAGTTACTTTTTCATCACCATCATAACTGCAAACTCTTGCTAAATGAGCCAGTCACTAAATGAGGACTACCTTTACTATATTTAGGCTGAATCTGTCTTTTTGTAGTCAGAGATAAGAGTTCAGGATGTGTTATTTTGACTGAGGTAGCGCTATAGTCATCTGTCTTATATGGGATAGGACAGGAAATAGATGTATGAGTGTAAGACATAATTAGATGTATATGAGAAATCCATCCTGAGAGAATTATTTAAACGTGGTGCATTGAGGTGCATTTGTGTGTAGATGAGGAAGGAGACTTTTCCACAGTGAGGTTATACAGGAGATTCCTATTCCAACCATTCTCTTTTTACTTCTACCACCAGTGGCCTAATCATGTATCAACTGGCAATTCTCTTGTGCCGCTTTCTGGCCTGGAACTATTTTGTTCATATGCACCTGGAGGTGATGAAGGTGACGCAACACCCTGAGAACTGGAGCATCCAAGTGCGGTGGCGGATTAGAGGACTGCCTTTCCACATCTTCTTGATGCGTTTCTTCAGGAATAAACCTGAATTTTACAGGTGAGGCAGCTCTGATGGAGTAGCAATCCTTAAGGCTGAAATAGAAAAGCAGAGGGAGAATGCTTTTGTCTTAGGGCAGCGCTCGCTTCCGTCCGACCCTTTTCTGGCAGATTTACTGTTCTCTTTTGGAATCATTAGACAAGGGCTGGTCTTCTGAATGCCTAATAATATGGGTTGATTTGCTATGCTTGTGGCTTGTGATGTAAGTGCAGTTAAAATTAATCAAGCCTTTTAGGACAGAGTGAAATAGATATTCAAAACGTATTATCGTTTCACAGCTGTATTTGTCTAAGCGATGGCCAGAATGCAGTCTTGCTTGGCTAACTTTCATTTCATTCCTGTTCCAGAATTTACGATGCCTATTCCACTTTCTTCTTAAACCCACAAGGGTTAATTAAGTGTCACAGAGTAAGCAAGGTGAGTTTCTGTGCATGAATAGCGCTGCAGGTGGTGGTACTTCCCCGCTGCCCCCAAAACTTTGCCCGAATCTTGACATTAAAATGGATTTTCAGTTAGCATAAATTAAGAGATACAATGAACTGCATTTAATGCACAAGATTATTGTTTGGAGAATTTTAGAATTTGCTGATCTGGTTTCACAGTTAATTGGTCCCTGTAGTGACAGTTTTGGTCTTATTCTATACATTGACAATAGGGTGTGTTTTAGCAGTTTTGAGTTTATTAATCCTGTATATTGACAATAGGATATGTTTTGGGAGTGATAATTTAATTTAGTCATCATAATGGGTGCTTTATTCTAAGCTGCGATGTATTTTAATGTTTGTATCATTTTAATTGTTCTTATTTTGTAAATTTTGTTCGCTGCTCAGAGTCACTTGGTGAGATGGGAGGCCATACAAATTAAATAAATTAATTAAATAAAATAAGTGTGTAGAAACTAACTTTGTGTTTTCTTTCCTTTCAGCTCATGCCATCCCAGCCACTCCAGAACAAGCTAAAAAACCTTGCTGTGGCCTCCTTGCTGGGCCTGGAGCTGTCAGACCAGAGACCCTCACTATTGCCATGGCTAGTAAACAGCAAGGGGCATCAACAGACTATAGGGGATAGTTAAGCCTTGCCCTCTTGTTAATACCTCTCTTGGTTCATCTGCCACACTGTATGGTAAGGAAGATGCCACTAAACAGTTCATTGTATATCTGTGTTTCTTCGGTATAGTGTGGATGTTGCCCCATGTTGGTGCTGTTAATTGCACTAGCAAGCGCTGTAAAGATGACTGCAATCTAATATTGTATATAATAAAAGGTTTATGTTGGAAATAATGTCTAGTTGTGCATTAGGCTAAAGAGACTGTAAGGAAGTAGTTATTTCATCTACATTCGTCGTTAATGAGATCAGAGGCCTGGTGTCCACAAAACGTCATGATAAAGTCCCTGCCCCAAAGACTGTTTAGGACACGTGAAAAATGTGTAAGCATAGCTGGTTTCTTTTGACCGCAGCTCTTGCTATCAAGGCTATTTGGGAAGTGAAAGGAGGAATGGAGGATATGCCTTGGAGTGTCGTAATGAACCTATGAAGATGATGATTGATGATGGTGGTGGTGATGATGATGCACAGAAGCATCCCTCACCTTTTCCAGAAAGAATATGGCTAAATGGGATGAATAAGTTCATAGGAAAAATGAAAGTGGTAAAAATACAGTAAAAGGCTACTTGATTTGGACTGCATAAATCCAGGTGACCGCTATTGGTCACCAAAGAGTTTTCTGTGGTTGGCTATTTGCAGTCCTGATCTGGTAGCTGCAAAAAAGCAGAAAATCATTATTCCACCAGCATCTTTAATTCTGAAGATTGAACTCCATATAAAACTTACTGCCTTTGAGTCAGTCTTAACTCCTGTCCGTGCAGTTTTCCTGGCCCAATTTTTCAGAAGTGGTTTGCCGTTGCCTTCTTCCGAGGGCATGAGGTTCATGTAGGGATGGCGGTAGAGCAAGAAAAACTATATGTTCCTAATTTCTCCCATGCTTCATTTCCACTGGTAAGGCACTCACCATGTTGCTCTACTTCAAACTGGATTGTTGTATTCTGTTAAATATATTTTCTTTCCAACATCCTTAAACATTCCAATAATAATTTTTAATATTCAAAATTCCTTGAGAAAGCTACAAAATATTAGTTTTATTATATATTTAATCTTTAGTATAAATCTAAAAGTGTTACTTTTCAGTAAGGATGAGACGGTCGCTTTCATGCCTTTAAAGCCTGGGGGGAACTGAAGGGCAGAACTTGTTTGACATTGTTGCATAATACCCCTGTCAAACGCCTCAGTTTGGAATGGAAAATTTCCTTCAGTCCGAATTTGAGAAGCAAGCCAATCTGTGAGCATCTCTGAACACACAAATCTGGGCTTTGTGAGAGGTGTATGGATTCTAACACAATAGATACCAGAACAGGTTTTCTGCTTGCTGGTATTGACTTATGGAAAGTTTTATATGATACGCTGCTGAGGTCTATTACGATTTCTAGCAGCTGAGGGGGTGCAGTTTCTCCATGTCATGCATAACTGCTTATTCTTGCTTATTATCACCTCATCTGCTTTAACAAAATAGAGAAAACCAAGATGGATACTTATTTGCTTATTTTAATGGAACTGAAAAGCTTGGCTTGATGCTGGGTTCAAAGTGCACCAAAGAGGAGAATGAGGTTCAAGGCCCCCCTCAGCCCTAGAACTCACAGGAAGTCGTTATGCCAATAACTCTCTCCCAAAGTTGCAGCTGCAAGGGTAACTGAGGGGAAGCCCATGGATGCTGCCTTTACATGCCACAAAAGGGCAAGATACAAACACCAGTTCTGGCCATATGTATTCCAAGGAATCTTTTTTTAAGAAGAAATTGATTTCTTAAAAATAAAAAAAGAAAGATTAAACTTCTCTAGAAAGAGGATGCAAGCAAATGATACAGGGGGCCTTATTTTTTAAAAAAGTGTTTATTTTATGCCTCTGAGCGGCAGCAAAACTATACAGCCCTACAAAAAAGTGTCCAAAGGTGCTGCTAAGCACCAGAATACTTGGAACTGGAGGCAGCCTCTTCTTTATCCCAGCTCTTCCCGTGTCTTCCCCATTTTCTTGGGCAGTTTCTTGGTCGAGGCATCTTCTAGCTCTTTGGCCTTGTAGTAGTGAGGGGCCACTTCCAGCAGCCACGTACTGTCAATTTCAATAACCTGCAGAAAACACAAGAGCAGCTCCAGCTAAGTTCCTCTGGTTTCAGCACTGCCTGTGGAAACACCGCTACTTCTCCCCTGCATATCAGCTAGGTCAAAAGGTGATGGAAAGGTGATCAAGCGCAATGTGTGCAGATGGAAGGAAGAAGGGTAACCGAACTGGGTGAAAGGGCAGTCCAAAACCGCTGTTCCACAAAAGACCAACTCATGTCCGATGATTACATCTCTCTTCCATCTCTCTTAATCATCTCCACCAATGAGAAGTCACCTCTGTTTTTAAAGTTGCAGCAAAACAATGCGAAGCAACTTGTACATAAAATATTGAGTTAGATTAGAATAGAAGAGGGAGCTAAATCCACAGAAAAGGCAGAGAACAAATTAATAGGATCCCATATTGCACAAACCTCTTCAGAGAACATCAGAATCAAAAGTAATTTCTGCACTGACCAACAGCTTGGGTCCACTTGGCATAAAATTGTCTGCTCTGACTACCAGCAATTCCTGTGCAGAAATCTTTCCCACTATTATCATCTTTTAAACTGAAGATGCCAGGATTAGATCAACTTGCAAATTACAAGGGGGCTATGACACTTCAGTAGGAAGCCCCCAGTGAAATGCTACAATTTCATGGCTCTTCTGATTTCAATTGTCAGGGATGGATATTTTCTAATGCTTCCTGTGCAACATTTTTATCTGACCCAAAGCACCTGCTATATTCATAAATTGGCTAACATTTCACCTCCAAGATGATAACATTTCATCTCCAATGAGAAACTTTCTCTTCAGAAGGTCCAGAAATGCATGCCCGTGTTTTAGCTCACCTGTCTCATGAATTCCTTAGTGGTGAAGACCAGTTCGTGATAAATGAGCCAGCGGGGCTGCTCTTCAAACAAGGAGCTGTTGGGATGGATGTACACAGTTTGCTGATGCTTGACTGTTTTGTAACCGCTACGGGTTAGCCGGGCAGTGTGATAAAAGAAACCAGCTGTTATGGCCTGTAGAAACAGAGCAGGAAGGGCCAAAAGTGAGGGGGGGAAATGAAGACAACTGAAAATGCTGAAGCTTTAAATTCCCCTTTAAAAAATCAGCTATACTGTGCATTCATTATTTAAAACAATCACAAAAATCAATTATTGTTGCTATGATTGATATGTGCATGAATGTGTGTGTGAAGTTTTGAGTTTCTATGATCTCACCAATTATAACGATGAGTCCTATTCTGAAGGCTCTCACAATCTTTTATGAATGTGGGGGATTGCTACAGTTGTTTCGATAGCCAAGGCACTGGATACTTCAGTCTTGTTAACAGATGGAAATTTTAACCAAGTCAGTTTAGATGGAAGATTATCCACACAAAGCTGCAAAATTCACTGACTGATTCTGGGCCAAGAATAATCATCAGGGCATGAGAAAGTTTCCTGAGAATTAGCTCTGTCACAACAAATACAGAAGCCCAAGCTGTATAGAGATCTGTGCTGCCAAGCCAAAGTCTTTGCTTATATTTATATGCAATTTCAAGATCAGGCTTTTAAAACTTTGAATATCTCCCTGCTTAGTGGAGAAGTGGAAAACGAAGTACAGCATAGAAATTTGGCCCAGGAGAAAAAGGCGGTATTTAATTATTTAAAAATTTAAAAGGTCCTGGGTTCTCACACACAGTTCTTGTCACCAAAGGCTCCCATGTGTCTCTGGAACTGGGGAGGCAACCTGTAAGCCCTCTCTTTGTAGCCCCCAGAGCTTCCTTTGACCATGATTGCTAAAAATGTGTGAAACCATTTTGCAGCAGGAATTAAAATGAAAACTGTACAGTAATATAACTCATGCAAGAGGCTTAACACAATCCCCAAAACACAAAGAAAAAAACAGCCTTGCCCACTTTGCATCATTGCACTACCCTCTTGGGCCCTTAGGTTCCCCAAAACGTTAAGTTCTGTACCACTTCTTCTAGAGGAGAAATAAGATCTTTACACGTTGTTCTACATGCTTTCCACTCTGAGGAAACCATGGGAAATGAATGTATTTTGGATAAGCACCCTCCTCCCAAGTAACTATGACAATGTGGAAGAAAAATAAAGCCTTTGATTGTGTGGATCACAACAAACTGTGGCAAATTCTTAAAGAGATGGGGGTACCAGACCACCTTACCTGTCTCTCCTAGCAGTCCAGGGGACTCTCAAGAGTCTTCTCCAGCACCACAGTTCAAAGGCATCAATTCTTTCCTAGCAGTCCAGGGGACTCTCAAGAGTCTTCTCCAGCACCACAGTTCAAAGGCATCAATTCTTTCCTAGCAGTCCAGGGGACTCTCAAGAGTCTTCTCCAGCACCACAGTTCAAAGGCATCAATTCTTTCCTAGCAGTCCAGGGGACTCTCAAGAGTCTTCTCCAGCACCACAGTTCAAAGGCATCAATTCTTTCCTAGCAGTCCAGGGGACTCTCAAGAGTCTTCTCCAGCACCACAGTTCAAAGGCATCAATTCTTTCCTAGCAGTCCAGGGGACTCTCAAGAGTCTTCTCCAGCACCACAGTTCAAAGGCATCAATTCTTTCCTAGCAGTCCAGGGGACTCTCAAGAGTCTTCTCCAGCACCACAGTTCAAAGGCATCAATTCTTTCCTAGCAGTCCAGGGGACTCTCAAGAGTCTTCTCCAGCACCACAGTTCAAAGGCATCAATTCTTTCCTAGCAGTCCAGGGGACTCTCAAGAGTCTTCTCCAGCACCACAGTTCAAAGGCATCAATTCTTGGCCTGGCGCAATATGGTTCATGGGGTCACGAAGAGTCGGACACAACTTAACGACTAAACAACAACAACAACATTGTTCCCCCTCCCCCTCTGAAGGAAGAGGGAAGCAGTAAAATTTCCTACTTCTTGGTGACCACTGCTGTACATAGCTGAGCACTGGGAACCCAGGAACCAGATCAATCAACCAGGTAGTAGGAAAAGGAGGTGTGGCTCTACAAGTGTAAAAGATGCAGCCAAGGGTTACATGGACACAGCAAACTGTCAACACTATTTTATGTGTAAGACTGTTTGTAATAGCCTGAACTTTCACCCATAATACCTATGTAAAGATAGTGACATCATGTAGAACCCCCTTCTGAAACAG